CTAGACAGGGCTCAAAAGAACATCCACATTGGGACCTCCAGCCTGAGTCAAATACAGGTTCTACCACTTGGGCACGTCATTTTATCTCAGTCAGTATCTCTAAAGTTAAAAGTCTTGCCTAAAAATATAGGGGAAATTATGCCCACTTAATAGATTTGCTGTGAAGGTTAAAGAATGTGTGGAAATTGCCTCGTTCAGCATCCAGAAAAGTAAGTGTTCAGTAGCTGTTAGCTGCTGTTCCTCCCCGCTCACAGCTATTCCCATTTCAGCTTTTGCTTTACTTTTTCTCTCACACTGGGTTGCTGCTGTACTGTTTCAGAATGTAGAGAGAATGGGTGGGCTAGCTGATGCGGCATGGGATAAGTGATTTTCCTAGAGAGCAGTTTTGAGCAGTGGCTTCTTTCCCATGTCCCTCCTGGCCTGTTTGCCAAGGGCTTACACCCCTGGGTAATTTCTTTACCCTTTATCTTCTCCATTTCCCCCATGAATGCAGTTGAGGAACCAAAAGTTTCACTTTTGGTGGCTGTCCATCTTCTTCTGCCCTAACTCCCAACTTTCCTTTTGAACTACAACTTGTGAAGTGATAGTTCTTTTCTAGCTCAAGATAAGACACACAATGAAAATGATGCCATCTGCTGGAGTACTAGATTTTCTTTGCTTGGGATGCAAAAGACGGTTTGCATCAAGATTGAGGTCTGTTATTCCTCCTTGCTAAGTAGAGTACATGTCCTAGCATGCCAGGGTTCTCAAATGATTTGTTTTTCTCTTTGTTTCTTCTGAGCCTGCATCTTTGAAAGAGACCAAAGTGTAAATAAAAGAGACCAAACTTTAAAAGAGACCAAACTCTAAGTAAGAAAGTACCACATTCTTATCACTATAGTATGTGTGAACTCATTGTACATCTCTACTTTGCAATTTTTCATTTCTAAAATGGGACTAATAATTCCTGAACTTCGACCTTACCAGATTGTTATTATAAGATAAGGGATGCAGCCCAACCTCTGTTGCTCAATGGTAGAGCATTGACCAATGCACCGAGAGGTCGTCAGTTAATTCCTAGTCAGGGCATATGCCCAGGTTGTCGGTTCAATCCCCCATGAGCATGCAGGAAGCAGCCCATCTATGTTTCTCTTTCATTGATGCTTCTATCTCTCTACCTCTCCCTTCCTCTTTCTGAAATCAATAAAAATATATATATATATTTTTAAAAGTAAAGCAGCAGAAAAAAGCCTTTGCCATCATTGCAATTAGGCTGTGAAGATATGCTCATGTGGTGTTGAGGAAAGCAGGCATTGACCTCACCAGGAGGTAGGAGAGCTCAGAGAGGACAGCTGAAACCT